CTGATCGTCCTCGCACCAGGGCTCGATTGTGGGGTCGTCCTGCAGACCCTCGAGGCCGTTCCTCCAGCTGTGGAGCTCCTCCGCCACTTCGAGGCTGTCCCAGTTAAAATACTGGTGACAGCTTCGATCCACCTGTCGTTTTGGCAGCTTGTCTTAGGCTCACGCAGCGCTCACGCACAAAAATGAGAATTACTAGGAAGCTCCTCCGCCTCCTCCGCCTTTTCCAACTCCTCCCAGTCGAAAAGCATGGCGCCAGAGCTATTTTGGCTTTTCTGAGCCGCAACAACTTGAGCTTCCAGGATCATCCATGGCGAAAACAGGACATGTATCGATGCAAATAAGACTCGCTTATATAAGAAATATCTACTACTGTACGAAAGCTATCTAGTCTGCTTCGCTTTGGATTTGCAGGGAAGCCCTCTGCTCTTCTGCCTTGTCACATGAGACGTCACCTACCGACATGCTAGTCTCTTCCCAGTGGAAAAACATGGCGCGGAAGCTAGTGAAGAGGGTGGGTCCAGGAAGAAAACAAGCGTGTTTGGCCACTTGCTTTTGCTTCAAGAACTGCGGTAAAGTTGATATCTATGGTGCAAGTGGTACATGATGCTGTAGCTCAAGCAATGGCAGCTGACACAATGAAAGGAACTGAACGAGTACAATGGCTCGGATTAACGGAACTTTTGCACTCAAGTTCCCTTGTAATCTCTGAGCAAAGCTTCGGTGGATCATCTTATGCATACGAAAGCCTAAGTCCATTCAGACTTGCATATGGTATCCCACGTACTGAGTATGTTCGGTGAAGCTCAGGAATGTTCCTGAAGAACCCTAAAGACCCTGAGCATCCTAATCATCCTAATCAACATCATGAAAGCACGTCATGTGCCAGCTGCTCTGAAGTTTTCATGGAAATTCATCCCAGCAGCGGGTGGGATGAATATCAAGCTGGCTTGAGAGCTCTGCCTTTTCCAAGCTGTCTCGGTCGTGCGGTCAGGAGTAGGCGCGCCCGGAAGTAAGCTGCCAGTTGCTTGGCTCCGTGGCAAGGAGGACGGGAACGCCTGGTTGGTCGACATACCTTTGCGAAGTAGGATCCCATAGTTTGGGGCCTAGTTAACTAAACTTCCTTTATGGTCTGCTCGTACATAACTACACAAGTCCACGTGGTGAATTCCCTCATCTAATGCGAGCATATATGACAACCCATAGAGCTACATTGGGAAGAATAGTCTAGCAGCCACGACACTGGTAGCTCGTGATGGCGCAAACGTCACGCATCTCGGCATGGCCTGATCTGGGATTTGTATAGGTTGACACACAAGAAGGCAGGGTTCAGTAACAGAATGCCGAACCTCTTATTCCCATTCCATTGTTGCAGCTATCCGCTGGGTCCCCTGACTTCTGCCCTGACTAGCCGCCCGTGTTCCAAATGATTTGCTTCCGAATTGAAGCAGCCGATTGAATAAACAACGGTTGCTTTAAGCTTGAAAATGTGCTAAATGAAATCCTAAGAAAAGTTGGGATCAGACTGCTGGCACCTCTCGCTGATCCTTTCTGGAACGAACCTGCTGTGATATTTTGTCGACTATTTCGGGACCTTCACGGTCCCAAAAACGTCCAAGAAATGATTGCATCTGAAGCTCCATTTCGGGATGGTAACGTAATGAAGCTTAAAGGGTTTCATCGTCCGATGTCATAAAAAGCACCCTAAGTTCAATAAGCGTAAAGCGACTTCCATCACCGCCCGATACCTAAACTAAAACCTGAACATCCTAAACGCTTCTACAAGCTAGCCTTGGATCGCCACATAGCTCGCTCTAAACCTGAAATGTTCCACGCTACGTACCGAGCAGCGTACAGGTCTCCAAAGTGGAGTCTAAAGGACCCCCCCACCAACCTCATAATATTAAATCAATCCCAATATACTGCCATCATAGAATGGGACTGTTGGGGGGCGGGGAGATATTATCAGGAAGAGGGCATGAAAATCTTCCTCAGTCAGTATACCTGGCGCTGAGACACGGTGCTCCTGGTTTATCTTGGGCTGTGGGGTGCACCTTGGCCCTTCATCAGGCTCGGATCCAAGGGTCGATAAAAAATCAATGTCCATGCTGTTTGAGGCTTGAAGGCAATCTCAAACCCCAAAAGGCTACAAATAATTTCTACTATTGTTCCTACTATTCTTATTACTATTATTATTATGAAGGCTACCTGGAAAAGTGTTAGACCTACAGCCCTTTGCCCTAAACTCTGGTCTAGTGCTGGGATTTCAGGATTGGGGGGTTTCGGGTTTCCGTTCTGTTTGTAGGCTCTAGGGATCAGGGTTTAGGGTTCAGGGGCCAAGGGTTGGGGCTTAGGGATTCTTAGGAGATAGTTAAGCTGAGCCTAGCCATTGCTTATGATGACGCCTGCAGCGCTGTGAAGGGCCTCTGGTTTCACTGCACTCCACACCTACCACTTATGAACCAGGAAGGAATTCACGTGGGAGTTCCCAAAGCCAGAATGCCAACCAGATTACAAGCCTTGCTGGGAAGAATTTTGAAACAACAGCAATGTAAACTCGACAACCTGCCCTTGAAAACCTTGGACCCTGACTTCCGGCAACTCCACAGACCTCATCTGAATGAGGGTATGTACTCTGTTTCCGGCAAAGCTCACCGGGGCAGGGGTTCACAGTTCACAGGGTGTGCGCCAACAAAGGATGTCCTGCTTGTATGATAATATTCCTACCATGTTGGGGAAGTTTGCTTCCATCAACCATGACACATGCCCCCCAAAAATGGCACCTGTGCCCATTCAACCTGTCTTTCCATGAATTCGTTCGACATGCACTCTAGGGGACAAGGCTGGACTCTTGTCCCAGCAATTTCGTGATCTGCGGATGGCTTGGGGGTTCTTTACTGCTGGGCTTAAGCTACGGGTTCCTACAGCCCTCACGGGCCACAAACCTTGATGGGGAAATATTGGGAAAAGCTTGAAGCCAGAAGACCGCGCAAGCTGCCGTGTAGGGTTCAGGGTTGTTTGGGGCTATCAGGTCTGGGTTTATCTGCTGTCCTGTGTGGCGGTTGCCTGGAAACTAAAACCTGATAGCGCGCTCCCTACCAAAACTTCACTCCCCACAACAACCTCTAAAAAATCGCATATCTTATTGCGGCTAGCTGTAGCTGGCAAATGCGAGGAGCGCACCGAGAACGCAATCAAGCAGAGGGGCCAGGAAGTATGCCCGCATGCTTTGAGTTGAAAGGTGCGATGGGGCATTAGAAAAGAAGTCTGGTTATCTGGTAAACCCGCAAGCGACGGGTCCAGGGCCTGCAGTTTCAGGCTTCATGGAGTAGCCACTGGGGTAATATTAGGGTTATGTTGGGACAATGGAAAACAAAATAGAAACTACTATTTCGGGTTCAGGCCAGGGGTGGTTCTAAGCTTTTAGGATTGAGGGTTTGAGGTCAGGACAGGCGCCGGGGCTTGGAGGCTCGCAGCGCAGGGTTTGTGGATGCAGTCCGGCAGCGGTCACGAGCAGGCAACAAACTACCCGCTGGAAAATCATCTGGAGGATTGGCTGTGGAGAGTTGCACGTCAAGATGAGGGGTTCAAACTCCTGGACTTCAAAAAGCCCGACATCTCCTACACCCGCAAGATTAGATCGAGCCGACCTCCCGCTTGAGTGATCGTGCTGTACTTGCTTTCGTGTTTAGGGTTTAGGGCTTCGCGGGGAGGGATGATAAAGATAGAAGTGTAGTCGCCCCTCCCCAACCCTTATCAGACAACTTCCTACCCCATACATGTAAAACATATATGCATATAGATATATGTACATCTACATAGAGGCACATACTATACAGGCATTGCCCTCCTGGATAGTCCATATATATAATATGTGTTTCTTTAACTGTTGGGGGGTAGGGGGTTGTAAATACTTGGGGAAACAACTGCAAGCAATCTATGTAGAGTGATAGGTGCTATTAAGGAATCTAACTAGAGTGACGGGTCTTGCATGCAATCCGCCTGGAGTGATGCGGTTGCAGGAGTCATCCACAAAGAAGTTGAGCAAGGGTTTCCTGGGCTTGAGACACCACACATGTTTTTCAATGCGGCCGTCCTGACCAGAGACCAGAATCCTGCGTCAAAAAGCCAAATATTGACATCATCCCTTGACAGGGTTACTCTACCCTGAGCTTTCTGTTATTCATTCACCCACGAAATTACTGTCCCTTTTCATGCTCACAAGTGGTGGGTAGGATCTTGCATCGAGGGACCGGTCCAAAAGGGCAGTATAGTTTATGGCCGTACATCCACACACACAAAACAGGCAGCGTGCCACATGGTGCCTTACTAAGAGCCCATGGTTAAGGCCTTTACTTGGAGGGTCATAAGGACTGAGTAAGCAGGCTAATAATGGGGATTCTACGGCTTAAAGGGGTTATTAACCTATTTCCTAAGGCTCCCTGACCCTCCAAGCAACGCCCTAGACGCAAAAACCTCCCAGGCTTCTGCCCAACCTGGAAGTTCAAAGGATGTCGCCCCGCCATTTTTGCTTTGGGTTCAGGTTAGTGGGTTGATTACAGATACTTAGGGGTCCTATAAAACATTTCACTTTCCATTTTCTTTTCCATTTGATTCTCCATTATTGAGGTAATATCCCTATATAGCCCCTATCCTAGACCCTAACTTAGGGGTAGGGTTTAAGGCTGAGGGTTCAGGATCTTATCAGCTCAAGAAACCTTTGCTGCAATTAGGATCCAATTTTTAAAGCTCTGAGCGCCGAACTCAAGTTTTATGATTGCCTGGTCTTTTAGGCCGGGCACTTTCAAGCCCGGCTTCTCACCCTAGAGCCCAAGCTCTGCATCCCAAAGCTACAGCACCAAGCCCCTTTAGGAGCTAGGGTCGAGGTGGTCTGGGTAACTTGTGAAGTTTATCCTGTACCTAACCCTAAACCGGAAGAACAACACAAAGTTCGCGCCAGACCTCAAAGAACTTCAGAATCCGAGGATGCCTGTAGAGCTAAGGAGTATTGGCCAGAAGAAGGCACCAAATTCATCTGTGGCCGGCGAGTGCTGCTTGGCTGCGTTTGCATGCCCGAAATCACATCCTAAACCCTGCCTCCCACAAATCCTCAGATTCTTGAGACCCTTCGCGAAGAACGACGGAACTCTATCAGCAAATCTCCTGCCCCCAACTTCCAAATGCCTCTGTACGGCAGCCTGCCAATGCTTGGAGTTAACAGGATTTTAAGTCTAAGCCCTACAAGCTCAGGGGCCTTCAAGCTTAACATGTGGATCTTTGGCTTTGAGACATCCTTGGAAACCAAGGTCCGCTTATTCCATCTTAAGCTACCCTCCCCTGAACTGACATCATGGAACATGGAAGCCCAAAAGGGGCTCTGAAAAGACTATCCTGAAACATTCTTTTTGGGTGTGGAAGGGGCTCTCCTGGCATGAGGTAATGTGCTGGTTTTCCCCGACCTCGATGCAGGCATGCCGCTGGAGGGAATGGTCAAGGTTCAGGGCATGCGGGGTTCTAAGGGTACTGCAAACTTACGTGAGTCCTAAGACCTTTGACATTTCACCAATTCGGGCATCTTTGGAGTAGCCACGTTGAAACAGGACATGCCAGAGGTATTGGATCTGTGGATGAGCGGGCTCAAGCGAAGGCTAGATAATCCTTTTGGAGCTTCATTCAGATTTCATGCTTGCTCAAGGTGATCGATAGTCGCATCGCGTGCGGCAATAGCCTTGGGGATGACAGGTTCACATAGCTGCCCTACGTGCGGGAAGCCCTCACAAGTCACAGTGCCAAAACTAACGCCACTCAAAGGTACAACGTTGCGTAAATGCCAAGCCCTGAACTCAAGCAACAGCCAAAAGCCCACAAACTTCTATGCATGCCGTTTATGATGACCTTCTTCGCCTCCCTGTGCCAAATGCGCGCTCAAAACCCTTGCCAGTGCCGTGATGCCCACGTCCACTCTGCGGCCTGTTAGACTCCTTTCGGGGCGACTTCGCTTTACTACTTGGCAAAAGTTCTGGAATGGGGAACTCAATCACCGGAGCATTGTTTCGAAAAAAGAATCAATGCGCCTATTCCTACAAAGCACAGGAAATATTTCCTAAGCCCTAAACCCCGAACCCTTACTCTAAGCCCCGCGCCCAAGACTTGAAACCCTAAGGCAACATCGCCTACAAGCTGGTGGAGCGTCTCGGAGGTGCACAGGCAGTTGGACCGTTGGTGCCGCTCGACCCAGGTTAGGGTTGGGGGTAGTTGGGGGTTTCCCAAAATTGGGGCTTCTTTATCCCTACGTCCCTACAAAAAGGGTCAGAGGATTTTGGGGTCCATATTGGGGTCCCCCTTATTTTGGGAAACTACCAGTTTTTGGGGTGAGGGTGGAATTCCTGTAATTGAGGGTTTGGGGTTTGCGGATCAGGTTTTGGTGTTGAGCGACTACCTCGATCCGTTCCCAGCCCCAAGCACCAAGTAGAGCACAGGGCTTTGGGGTATTGCTTTCAAAATGGGACCTAGCTGGCGGGCCGTGGTACTTCAACAATGGCGGCCGTGATGAGTAGACACGTCGCCCCAACCTTAGGTTCTCTACGCAATCACCCTTTTCAAAGCTGGATCAGTTTTCCATCCAAAGCCAGCTGTAAAGATCGGTCTATGGCCAACATCTCCACATTCAGGACCTGGCGCTCTAGAGCCAGCAAGTGGAGCTAAGACTTTCTGACAACCTTAGGCGCTTCAGGAGAATACCTGTGTTGCCCCTCATTTCAAAACTTTGTTGGGTTGTGCGTCTCCAAACCAAGGGACGGCAGAAGGAAAGTGGCTACAATCGAAATGCACCCTTTGTCTGAGCCAGCCCATGCATCTCATATTATCTATAGTCGAAACTCCTAGTAGCCCCGTTTAATACCCCTGTAATACTCCCCTATAACCCCCATTGAGGGTGGAGTGTGGGATCCATAAGGAGGGTAGGCTCCTTCACTTGAGGCAGGGACTTCGCGCACCGTACATGGACCTTTCACGCGGATGCTCTGTGGAGGAGTCCCGGATTGAAGGTTTTTGGTTTGGGGTGGCTGTTGCGTCTGGCCGGAGTCTGATATTTTGAGGAACATGTGTTCCCATGCTGACTTGTTTTTTTTTGCAGTTTAGGTGTTTTGTTAGTGGACGTGGACTGCGGGGCAGCAGCTCGCCATTGAGAGCATACGTCCGCAACCTTTGCGGGCCCGCTCTTGATATCAGAAAGTTTGCATCAGCTATGTATGTTAGACAGCCATGCTTCCTAATGCAGAAGGCACATAGGGTCAGGCAGGAGTTTAATGTCAACTGCAGGGTGAGAGGCTCCCGTGCCAGAATCTTGGATGTCCCTTCATGACGCCAGAGTCCTCTCACTGAGGGTATTCACCTAAAGGACAAAGCCACGGTCAGAAGGCACAGATTGATCTGATCTGCAGGCTCAGCCTTGTCATTTTCACGTTCGTGGGTCGTTGAACCGGTCTCCAGAGATGATTTCGGATCTTCCGGGCATTATGTAGATGCGGAGATCGGAGCGCCGGCTTGTTGCCCAGGACATTGTGAACGTGGCATGTGCGGCAGCATTGCTTGCAGAGTGAGACAAAAAATGTCAGCGCACTGCGAGAAGATCGTGGATGCCAGGGCTTGTTGTTGGAGCTTGGCTCATACAATGCAGGACGTGCGCAGTCTTGTGACATCACGAACACCATTGTTCCGAGGCAGTCATGCGACAGTGATTCACATAAGCAACGTGGCAATGTAATGATGTGAAACTGAGCATGTATTTGTGAGCAAGGGCTGGGCAACTCCTGTCTACAGAAATGTTTGAAAAAATCACTCCCATGATAGCAGGGTCTCGCAGTTCAGGGAAAGGAGTGTAGAGCTTTGCCCCTTCGCAGATTGTCGACTCGGTTTTTCCGGAGGAGCTTCTGTCAGCAGGTTAGGGTCACATACGGGCTTGGTTGGTGTTCTGGCCTAGAGGACGGCATGCAGGGAACCGATCAAGCGGCTACCAAACATCGAACGCGAAAGCTGCCAGCCTGTGATCTTTGGTTAGCGCAATCAGATACGTTTCGCTGGGTTCCGCATAAACTTTAAGCAGCCAAGAACAGGGACATGAATACCCGCGCTCTCGAAAGAGTAGCCGACCCAAGTCCAACATCTTAGATACTCCTCTGCGGCCACCGTCAACAGGGGAAATCCATTGTGCCATAAGCATGGTTCTGACCACAGCCTTGGCTTCAGCGACCAAGACCACAGACAGAGACACTCAAGAAATCAGCTTGGGTCTCGGAAGGCTTAGAAAGGTCTCCTTGAACGTCTCATTATTCCGCTGTATAATGGAGACTGAGGGTGTTAGCGGACTGGTTGCTAAGTAGATCAAGCGAACGACAAGTCGCCTGCCCAGGCCAGAAATTGAAGGTCCGTCAAAGGTGGTCTCTAGACATAGATTCTGAGCTGCTTCTTGTCACGGCTTTGTGGCAAGGGTTTGGAAGAACGCGTGCCCTCAGCCGACCCTGAGCAGTAAGCCCTCAGAAGTTAGAATGTGTATTCCTTGCACCCCACATCCCCACACATTATGCAAGAGTCATTACTCCCACTGCCTTCTGCTTCTGTCTTTGCCATGCCGGAGCTTGATCTAGATGTGACTGGGTTGCAGTTCTTGAGGGTGACGGTTTCAGACTACCCTGAGTTTGGCTTATGGTTGAAGGCTGCAGGATCAGGGGACGTAAGAATTGCGGAAGTTAGATTGGAAAGGCCAAGCAAGCGGCTTGAACGTGTTTGGACGTAGGGCTTGGACTCTTGGGTCTGAGTTCTGAGAGAGGTCGCCACTTTTACATCACCTTCTTTGGGTTCTTAGGGGTGTTCAGATGATCAATTTGGTCGAGGTGCGCATGGGCGAGAGGCAAAGCAGAATGTAGAAGGCCTATGCATACAGGATGGATCTTGAGGATACGATCGGCAATGAAATTTGCAGGTTGAAGGGGGGTTGGCTCCAGAAAACAGGTGCTTCTAGTCATAGCTTAGCCCATAGCTTAAAGCTACCTTTATATGATATATTATACATTTCCCCCTAGTTGTTGAAGTCCCTTTCCCATGTCGACTGTGGAGATGATGTGCAGCGTGATCAAGCAGCTCCAAGCCTCGTTCTGAAATAAAGATGTCAATTGTGTTTCAGTGATGAAAGCACACTGGTCTCGTCATCTCCTTCTGCACACACGCCGCAATGAGACGGTTTGGGGATCCAAGGTTGAACGTCACAAGGACCGAAAGTGTCAATGCAACTTGTTGAGTTCACGCTTCTGAGTTGAAGCAGCCCCATGCGGCCCAGGCCAACTGGAAATTCAAGGGATATGAGACCCTCGAGTAGAAGTCGAAATCGAAAGCCTGCCACTTCCCTTTTGGCGGAAACTCGGAACCTGGAACAATGAATTCTACAGCTTTGAACCTTGAATTCTACGAGCAATTCCAAGGATGCCCTGATCTGAAATTCCTCGCTCTGATTCCAGGTCTGAACAAAATGTGTGGCAGGTCCTTATGCTTTTCCGGCAAACTTCCTCCATCTCAATACTGTAGATCAGGTATGTCTCACGCTGCCCCAACATAAGTCTCCATAAGGTCACGCGTCGCTAACTTATCGCAGGGTTTTCGGGAAGTGAAGCCTATGTGGGCCTATGTGTGGGTGGAAATGGGCACGTAACCCATGCTTGCCAACAAATCTGAAGGCACCTGATGAAATGCTTTGGCACCAGGGAAAGTATGCAATGCAGACCTCATAATTAAGGCGTCACGTTTTCTCAGCAGATCTTGAGAGCTGCTTTCTAAAGTCACAGTCTGGCTTCAGCTGTGCTCGCCAAGCAAAGCTACAGACGTAGAGGAGCACTCTGGAATTTACTCCGGCATCCTTCTTACTGTGGATGACAGTCGGCATGTTCCTGTCCCGGCCGTTCCACCTGCTATCCACACACTGTGTCCCAGCGAGCAGCACGCATGCAGGCTTACGGACCTTCTTAACAAACTCGTGCTTCGTGTGTGAGACGCGGTACGACTTCTGGGCTTTGCTTTGAACACCGCAGAAACCCTCACGAAACTCATTGCTGCACTCCTCTTGGAATAACCTACGAAGTCCATGCCAACTCTAAAATCAACCGCAAACTCAGCGGTAAGTTATGTACTTGCATGGCCCTATAATTCCTGATGCCCTCATAGAGCCCCAGCTCAGCTCAGGGCCCTGGCGTCACAGTGGCCGCGTCTGCCGGGAGCCCCTCGGCTGCTTCCGCGCCGCCCGCGCCGCCGTCCCAAGAGCATGGCTTGGGCCCTGGGCTTCCCATGGCTCTAAGACTGTTGAATGGTTTAGTGTTTTAAACTCAGTGTTTTAAGCTTAGTGTTTAGATTTTGGGATTTAAGGTTTAGTGTTTAGGGTTTAAAGTTTAGGGTTTAGGGTCTTGGGCGTGGGGCTTGGGGGTGTTTGGTGTTCGGGGTTAGGGGTTTTATAGCCTTATAGCTTGGGGGATTTAGGGCATGTAGGGTTTGGTGCTTGGGGGTTTGGGGAGGGTTTCAGTACGGTCTGGGGCTATGGTGAAAGTGGAGTAGGGCTCTTCTAGACCTACGAACCTACCTTTTTGAGGTTATGTTTTTGTTTTTGTGATACCTACTGATCCCCAAACATGTGGTTGTGTAGGTTTAGGGTTTAGGGCTTCAGGGTTCAGATTCAAGGGGCTTGGGGAGTAGTGACTAGTGTTCCTGGAGCTAGGGGTACAGCTCCTACTCTTTTCCAGGGGGACCCTATTAGCAGGTATCAGTTTTTGGGAGGCTGTTGGTGGATGTCTTGTTGTGTTTTTGACAGATGCTACATGCCGGGATGCCTTTTTCAAAGAAGGCTTGGGCCACCGATGTGCTACAAGGAATCACCTTGGGGGTTGATCTCAGCTACGGTTGGAATCCCTCTTTCGGCAGCAGACGTCGGGCGTGAGGAGTCGGGCCTGAAGGGTTCGCATATACCCCAAGAAGAGGATGACAGCTGAGGAAGTGCGCAACAGCCTGTTGCTGTCTTCATCTCCCACTATCTACACTTCACATATCCTGCTTACAGCCGAGGCCATGACTCCTTTTCCTGAAATGCTGGCGATGAACGCCTCTACCTACCATCCTAGATTCCACGTCCTTCAACCTTTGGCCCCCAAACTCAATTAGTGTAGAGGCTTGACACATTACCTTGGCTATCTCCTAGTAAGCCTCATTGTTTTGGATACTAGCACCTCTGACTTGAGCCGAGTTGTGTCCCCCTCACACGACTTCGGCTGTGGTACCGCGGCCGGTGCACGGGGCTCAGAAACGTCTCGAAATTGCAGGCTTCGTCTTTAAGGATGTCTCGTTTTTTTGTCATACGGTTGGTTGCTTGTTCTAACCCCCCAGTTCGTACGCTAAAGATAATTTGTGGGAGTGGTCCAGGGCCAATAGCATATAGTTCTGAGCTTCTACAGCAGGTTCACGGAGAACATATTAGGAGTGTCCAACGGCTTTTTGCAGACGTCCTGCTTCAAAGGGCCATATAGGGGCCACGTTGGGAAGCCAGTGCCTGCAACTGGTCTATTCTAGCTATTCACTCTACCCTGACTGATAAACTCGGGAAATTCACTGCCCGTGCACTTCTTGCATTTCTGATGAACTGCTCTCTCTAGCCATGTGCCGGATCCTGTAACTTTTCATCAGCCCAAAAGAGAGGATTCAACATAATCTCTATTCCAGATCCACATACGAGGATGATCATATTTCGTGGTAGAAGAATATAATAGCGCGTGTACTGGGAAATAGCGCGTATCTACCCGTTTCAGGTACCTACTTGGAGGCTCAGCGCAACTACAACCCGCATGTAACTGTACTTTGAATCCAGGCGTCCGCACATGTCTTTAATTGGGTAGACGTACTGGTTATGATTGGGCAATAATTGCCCAGCACATTCAGTTAAAGACTTTCGAACTGTCCTACCCTAATCATCTTTGCAAATCTTTATGCGAGTGGCGTTGCACGTATAGGTGGGTCATTACTAGAAGTTGTTCCTAAATCTAAGGAATATGGGGGATTCCCAAATTAGGGGTACGTTTTTGGGGGATCCCTATAATGATCCCCTGATTTTGAGAAACTACCATATCAGGATAGAATCCCTTCTAGGACATATTAGTGCAATCATGACCCCACTCCCTCGTGTCATTCTGCCCCGCAAGAGTCAATGAGTCAATCTGTTTAGGACATGCCAATAAGGACCCATTTCTAAGGTTTCAAGTATGGGCCGCTAATGGCTAATGTGGGCCCTCAGCACTTTTAGTTCTAGGGACCCTATGGGGGGGCATATTAAGAACAGGATGCCGATGTATTATCATCCTCATTTCAAGAACTATCCACCCCCCCCCCCCCTCCCACCCAAAAAAAACAAGAAAACAAGGTATCTCTGATTTTGGAAAATCATGTGTTGCAGATGATTCAAGTCAAAATTTAGCACCAGTCAGCACCAGATTCATTCAGGTCTGCTTCGAACAGATTGACGAAAAAGACACCGGCGACTTTAAATATGCAACTCTGCTGAGGAACGGTTTTGGTA